AGAAGAAGAGGAAGCACTATGATTCCATGAAGATCTGCAGTGGAGAGGTTTGTACCTTTGCTTTTCCTTCTTTTTATAGTTTCTATGGGAATTTTGAAATTAGTTGACTTTACAGGAACTTAGGTACTAGAAATTTTATATTCAGGTAAATGGTTTACTGCCGAGTTGTTCGGGACTGGAGGATATAAAATCGGAAGATGCCGCCTTACATCGTGATGACACATCTCATCCACGTATTCTTATGCGTATAACGCGTAAAAATAATATTGTATCAGTGACAGATCCGCGAACGAATCATATATCTCTGCATATAACACCAAAAAGTAGTCGGAGTTTTTCTGTATTCTAGCTTTGTAAATATTTCAATATATCTTTTATCAGTTGCTCATTGAATTTCTGTTTGTACTATTTAAATTTAAGGCGAAGTTGATGAAGGACGGGAACCTCCTCTGAAGGTTCCAAAGTTAAAAATTCGGCTAAGTCGAAATGGAGAAGAGCACGTAGTTGATTCGGAACCAGCAAAGGATCATATATCGAAAAGTGCACCTCATGAGAAGGATAAGTTGGAAGAAATGAGGTTTGCAAGTAGCGATATTGACCGGCTTGACCGACACAAGCGAGTAGCAGGACTGGATCACAATCGGAAAATGACCATTATTATACCGAAATCCGTGATTAAGAATTCGTGTGCATCTTCTTGTAACTCCGGCAATTCGATCTCAGCTGCTGTCAGTTCTAATGCACAGTTCTCACCTAATTCAGGTAATTTATTTTTCTTAGTAATCGCTTATGGTTTATCCGAATTTGTTTTGCCAAGGCTATTTTTTCATCTGGAAGCAGTTCTGCAATCTCATGTATCGGTCCCTGATCTGTTATAGAATCTGATCTAGACTAAGATGCAGTGGTGATATGAGCAAATCCAGTATATAGTAGTAATGGGCAACTCTAATATATATAGAAATAAGCAACTACAATGTACAGTAGTAAATGAGCAACTCCAATATATAGTTAGTAGTAGTAGTAATAGTAATGTTTGAGGTTTTTGTTGGAATCTAATTTATAATTTATTTTTAGTTATACATATTTACCGATTGAAAATTTCTATCATATTCATATTTAAATTTAGGTATTTCCTTCGCAAGAGCCTATCAGTAATGTTGCATTACTGCATCTCAACCACTTTCCCATTCTTTCATTGCCAAATATATTTGGAGCTATGAGTTTCTGTGAAGAACTATGAGTTTCTCTGAATTATTTTTTTTACACTTGGGTATGAAAGAAACAATTCAATCTGTTTTTTCTCCTTTCGTCTGTCGAGCAGGGGACTGCTGCACTTAGCTTGCGATTTTACTCTCGGATTACTCTTTTCCTGAAAGGCTTAAAAAGATAATTATTTGTTTTTCTTCGTCTTTTGCGTTGATGCATTCAAATAAAATACTGTACGAAGGTTTTGGCAGACGTAACAGATATACAAAAATTTTAATGGTACATAATGATCGTAACAGCGGAAGTTCGACAAATGTGGTTTCCATTTGCATCTAATATTTCTTGAATTTATCCAGGACTAAGAGTGATCATAATTTTTCAGAATTATCGGATGAGGAAGATGAGCAGCTGCGTGCACAGGCTGATAGCGTCATCAGTCGTTTAAATGACTGGGGCACGAAAAATCCTGCAACGCGTCAAGCTGATGCAATTTCTCGGCTGGTTGGTTCTGCACCGTTAATGACGCCGGTTCTAGATCGACTTATTCCAAATGACCCATGGTTTTTTAGAATGGAAGTAAAAAATCACTCAAGAGTTGACTCCAATGATATTGCCCCTTCACGCATGACATGGCTTGCATCTGCTGCCAGTCATCCGCGCAGTTTGAAAACCACAATCAGTATCAGTAAGCCGAATTAGAGTTGAAGTTTTCCTCTTTTTTTGTTTTTTATGGCGTCTTCACTTTCCATTTTCACATGGAGGGACATTTTAGCTTTTCTTATTAAGCCAATAAAGTCTTGGAATGCATTTATTTAAGGAATTGTTGGGAATCGTTCTACATCTTCGAGTTAATTGTTTATGGTTAAAATTTTAGTCAATTTCTCAAGTTAAAATTCACTGGTAGGACAAAAAATTCGCGAGAAATTCTTTTTTTGCACGAAATCGAAATGGAAACACACAGTCGCCTCTCTATTGTGCGTATGTCTATTTGAGCGCGGGTTTTAATGTCTTTCTACTGCTTTTGTGGTGGTGCCTCTGTTACAGTGAATAGCTACTAATAAGGTGAACAGTTTTAATTTTATCACAGTTTGGTTTGTTTTGTTGCTCTTTTTCTATATGAAGTAATTTATCTCACTATCCTAGCGGGGATAATAAATTCAGTTTTGGCAACTTCTAAACAAATTTCGTAAACTATCGAGGTGGTCAGAATTTCATCCACATCGTCTTTTGTTTTTAATTTTATTCTTGAGGAATACAGATCTGTAATCTTTTTGAAAGTCCTATGTCCATTCATTCTGTGCGCTGTGCGCTTCCTTGGACCATTTTCTAGTTCGGTTTTTCGTAGTTCCCCTGAAATGAATTTTGTTATTCACTGAATGCCTTGAACTCAAAATATTCTCTTTGCTGCTAACATTTTTTTCCTCCCCCCCCCCCCTCTTCCTTCCTTTATTCATTTCATGTTTCGTTGTGGTGCTTCCCTCTATAACATTTTTTTAAAGTGCTGCTAGAACGTTTTTTCTTACGAATATTATGTATTTTATGGATATATGTGTGATGTTGTCCTTTTTTGTATGACAGTATGTTTCCATTACAAAAATTGGTTCATTGTTTGATTCTTTCAGTTCTAAATTTTATTTTTGACTTTGAAAAGTCTCTTCCTACAGATTGTACAATATTTCTGTACAGGTCCGAATAGTGTACGCGTCTTGGGTCTTTTTTCATTTTTCTGGCCCCTACACATACCCACAAACACATACACAGTATTCTAATCTCAAGCTAATCTAATTTGGCCATTTTGTCCATTTTGTCAATGTTTTAACTTGTTCGTTGTCTTGTTTTAGTTTTTGTTTGAGAAGGAAATGTATATTTTTAATATCAAGCTGTGTGTATCAAAGTAATGCGCCTGTTCAGAAATAATATGTAGATATGGAGTATAAAGCATTCCGCAGTATATATGTGAGTGTATTTTATGATTTTGCTGGTTAAAAAATCGAACTTCAAAATGTTGTTAGTTTTCCACACTGTTTCCCTTTATTCTTTTTATGTGGGGAATGATAACTCTCTAGAAAGAGAGATATCGATGGGAAACAGATTCTGTAGAACAAGTTTTGGGTTGATGGCTAGGTGGTTAAATTGAGAAGTTATGAATTTGGCAAATGTCGCAAACCACTCTTCATTGTCAGGCAGCGTTCTTAATTTTTGTGCACGACTCGTGAATCCGGTAGATGGGAGACAGTGTAAGGAAGTAGTAGTCATGCACGTTGAAGTGATGTAACAAGTGTAACGCGGTCATGTAAGCAAATTTGAAAATACAGTATATCAAACAGTGGCAAACGCCAATGTATCCAATATCTCTACCCATTAGCGTGGCGTTGGAGGTATTCCCCAATACGGCCGGTGACGTAGACTCTCATTTCGACATACCGATGTTTTCCGAGTTCCTGGGGGGTTTAGCACAGGCAATTTTTCCTTATTGTGGCAGCATTTCAGTGGTTTCATTCTTCTAATAACAAAACTTTTCATTCGATGTGAATTTGTTAATGTGGGGGTAAATCCTCCATTTATTCTCTTACTGTGTTATTGCAGAGTAGCAACTGGTATGAATTTCTTTTCTTCGAGTTTTAATGCTGAAAAGGTTTTAAATGATCTTAGACTGTCCATCACTGAGTCGAGAAGTTTCGAATCAGTTGATGAATTTGAACAATACTTACGGAACACGGATGCTGCACTTGTCGCGCAATTACAAAAGCTAGAAGTTCGGGGAAATTTAGAGAAGAAATCATTTACTGGGCTCAACAGGTAAGCTACGTAGACTTGAAAGGATGGTGAGATTTTAGATAATTTAGTTGCAAAATGTGAAACCAGACTTCAGAATGCTCGTCAGAGGCGTTGGCCCCCTTATACCTAGATATGAAATGTCGATGATTAGCCTCGGGGAAAATCTTTTACCTTTAATGACAAATTCTTGTAATTCAGGAGCTCATTCAATAAACATTTTTGGAGAGTCAAACATTATATTTCGTAATATTCTCTCCACGCTGTAGCGCTGCAGCGCAGCGCTGATTAGTGCGTGTCAGATTGGCATGACAGCGAATTTCGACTCTAGATGGTGCTGTCCAGCCAATACTTTTTCAGTGCATATTTTGATATGTGCATATTTTGAGAGGAAATGAAAAAAAAAAAAAAAAACCGAGTATGCGGACGGTGTAGATGGTGTAAATGAGAATTTACAATGAATCAAAACTTATTTTAGGGAAGCTCGGCTATCACAGATGTGTGCACGAAGAGGAAGAAACGTAACTGAACCTGTCGAGCAGTTAAAAGGAAGCTTCAATAAAGTGACGTTTACTTGGTCAAATCAGCATTTATAGCTTTCAAACTTCAGTACTTGTGACTTCGCTACTTATAGAGATGGAATAGTATTAATTTGTTCCGAACAGATCAGCAGGGACCAATGAGACGCCTAGAGGAATGCATGGAACAAGGACATTCAGTATGTATTAGTTTGCGAGGACGAAATTGTGTGAACTCTTTCATTCAAGCAAAAATTGTCGCGTTTGATAAGCACTGGAACCTGCTGATAAGGTTTGTCATACACGGTCACGAACTAATCGAAAATTTTATGCCAACTTTTTATCTAGCCGTAACCTGCTACCTTAAATTTTGATTTCGGCATTTCTGAGATATAGTTATACGTTGAGCTACTGGTAGTCTTAAAAGCAAATGCTGGTTCCAAAATGGTCATAAAGCTAGAGATGAAATCTTTCATATTCTCCTGACACTTGAAACGACACGTGCTGTACACTTAGCATGATTTCAGGTGGAATTGTGTTTACTCAAATACAGAAACATCGTTTCTGTCAAAGTAAATACAGTTTAACTTTAAAACTCAATCCAACATTAAATATTCGTAGTTGACAAAGTTTAGTGAGCATTCAATAAATCACAAGCGTATAAATCAACAAGTAATACAGAGACGGTGATGAGAGTTTCAAGCCATCAGTACGAATGAACTGTCGAGCTAGCAAAAGTATGCAGATAACAGGACCACACCAATATTCTCAAAGCCAGTGTGAGAGCAGGGAAGGTAAAACAGAAACAATATGGCGACGTCATCTACCGTGTTCTCTGATACGTGGAGACGACGTTGTCCTAATATTCGTTTCTCCACGATTGCCTGTTAAGCACTTCTTACGGTAAGTGCGTTTGCAGAGACTTTTATACTTTGGTTATATGCAGTTTGTGGCAAAAACATTTGGAATATTTAGGGATGATCAGCAAAGAACTGAGAGCGCAAGGAATCACGTATCAGATCCCAGAAAGCCTTTTCGTCTTTTGCAGGATAACGCCAACAAATAAACACTTCACTGTGATCTAATTTCGCACCACAAAACAATGCATGCATATGATAAAATTATTTTAGAAATTGGATTCATTCCCCACTCTTCACGGTGCAATACCATCCGCTTTCATTCTCCTCAGCTGAGCATACTGCATATCCAGGGCCTTTTCCAGTTGTTTACCCTATAATTTTTCGTAGCTTGTAATAAGGATATGTGTCGTTTTACCACAATGTAAACATCTTACACTAAAAGTATACTATTTCAAGTTCGCAGCAAATTAGACACTTACCTTATAACTAGCTATACACTGACAAAAATTTCGGGCAAAATCCGCAGGAAAAAACAACTGCAAACATTG